AGGGATTAAATGGTAGTATTAAGTGGTGGTGCTTTGGAAAGGATGGGATAGTTTAGCTCAGTTCTCTGCCCTATTTTGGGCAGGCAAAGGATCAGAGCATCTTAGTCCCCAATATGCAGTTTGTTCTGCAACAGGTGAGAAAGAACTATCTTGTAGGAAGAGAAAAATATTAAGAATTGAGTGAACCAATTTGAATTTTCACTAGGAAAAACAAATCAAAAGGAAAAAAGAAATAAACAAAGAGACATACCAACATGTTTCTTGGTAGCTCTAAGCATTAGTGACCCAGGGAAGAAATTTTTGATGCAGATCAAATTTGTAAGAGTTGTATCAAAAAAGGGATTCTCACCTCCCCAGCTCCCTGCTTCTACACCTGTGTATGTGACTGTTGCCTAATTTTAAGCTGCTCTGGATGGTGACTCTTCCTGTACATGCTGCAGAGCATTCAACAGAAAGACAAAATACATTACCAGGCTTTGCAGTATCTTGTTTACGAAACATTAGCTTTTGCATTTACTGAAACATAACAATGGATTTTGAGTTACAGATACATTGAGTCATTTAAAAGCAATACACAGAAGTAATTCCCTCAGAGAGAAGGTTGGGCTGAATGTGCATAAAGAAAAGGCTTGGGAAATACAGAAATAGTGAACAGCAGTTTAATACATGCAGTGCATTATCATGCATTTATTGGACAGCTGATGCCATCGTTAGTTCAGCACTGTTTTTTCACAACGCTTATGAGCACACATGCCCTGATTCCACTCTGGAGTATGGAAAAACTGTAAGAGCCATTTGACTGACCTTAGCTTTTATGAAGCGGAGGGAAAAAAAAACTACCTGGACAGATAGGCGGCACTATTTGTGAGGAAGGGGGTCTTGAAAACCAGAGTCCAGGCTGAAGAGCCTCTATGCTCTGCTACAAACACTAATTACACAGCTTTGACTCAACCGTGCACAGTCAGACCAAAAAAATCTGGGCCAGCTCCTGATCACCCACGGGAGGGATCTGTGATCCCTGGGGCCATAACAACACACATGTGCACACACAAACACACACGTGTGTCACAGAGACCAGAGCACCCACAGGCAGGGTGGGATGGCAGGACCTGGCTGCAGGGATGTGAGGGAAAACAAAAGGGATTGGGTAAAACTTGCTGATGGGCATGAAATATGGGATGACTGGTTCACCAGGGAAAACAAGAGTTCATGCAATGCTTGTGAGCAGGTTGCTGTTCCCTCACTCAGCCATTGCTGACAGTGATTTGCCAACTAATCCTCCACTCTTGGTCTTGATGCTGTTTTCCTTGGATATCATCAGTGTGTGTTTCTGCTTTTTGCTTCAATGAGTGTTCGAGTTTCTGGTGCAAATAAGCACAATAAAGAAGGCAAAACTCCCTTCCCATTAATAATTTCCAGGATGCATTCAGGCCCCAATTCAGACAGGCAAATATGCATGGGAGCAAGAACAGGAATAATTGCATCAAATGAGAATTTCCATATGCTGAATGGAAGCTACTTCTGTACTTTGGGGCTCAGCCTAGAAACTTTTATTTTGCCAGTAGATGAATCCCCTGATTCTTTGGAAAGAGCAAAAGGAACAGGCTACAGCCTGCATGATCTTGCTGGCAAAGTCAATCTGGTGTTTTTATCTGGTGCTCATTCAGTGCTGCTCAGGGCTGGAGTTGTTATCACAGGAGGAAGTAATAGCACAGGTTTCTCTAGAGCTGATCTTGTTAATGCCAAGTTCACATCAAAGGGCAATATCCTCTCTGTTTGCCAATGCCTGAAAGCTATCTGGCTTTCTCTGGCAGTTTGCTTCCCTAAAAATAGGAAGGGACAGCCTTGGGGCCAGCTGCAGCTGCATTTCTTGGGCACCCTGGATGCCCATGTTCTGGTTTGCAGAGGGCTTGGGGAGAAAAACCTGAGATCAGGGGTTATGCTGGCCCTGGGACAGAAAAAACTTTAGGACAAGATCTGAATTTAATCAGAACCAGGCGGGGACCCAAAAGAACTGGTAATAAAAAAATCACTGACAATAGCCATGGAGGTATGCAGGACACACGCACAGCAGAAACCCCTAATCAATGCCTACAGCAGAACTACATGGAGATGTCTACCAGTGGGGTCACACCCCTTTTTGTGGTTTGATACATGTCAGGAATGAACCAAATTTCTTGGTTTTATTTCGGCACCACAACCATAACAGACATACAAAGCATAGGTAAAATCCTACCTTTTTTTTCCTTTTTTTTTTTTTTCTTTTGTACCCACTACTCTAATGGCACCTGTACAACAGCAACCAGGACAAAAGAGACAGCAGCAGCAGAGTGACAGTCTCAGGAAAGCAACACTGCCAGGTTTTCCCCCACTCCTACTTCCCCACTAGCCATGTCGCAGGGCCAATATCCATTTCGTGCTGCAGAAAGGGTGATCCAGCAGAGAGTTAGGATGCACTGGGAATGAAGTCACATGCAAAATCATCAGCAGAAGCCCTTGACACTGCAATACTGACTTTCAGCTCGCAGAGTTCATGGGCAGCCTGTCCTCACAACTTCTTCTGCAGGCTAAGGGGCCAGCTGGAGCTTTTCTGGATTTTTGTGTTTGTTTTGTTTTCCCAGCAAGAGCACTGCTGTTGGCATCAGAGATGGCCTCTGTGACTCTGGAGGTAAAAATCAACAATCAAAGCTGCAAGCAAAGAAAAAGAAGGGGAAGGAGCTGAGGAAAACAAGTTACAAAGGAAAAACATATTGGTACCAGTAAAGTAAAGCAGAAAAGGGTAACAGAGTCCAGGCTGAAGTCCTCATGCAAGCAGCAAATCATAGATTGTTTAGTAGGACAGTTCATTGGAAAAGAGCCCAGAGTGATTTTTCTACCTAGTCCTTCACAGCAAGGCCAGCTGGGGATTTGTTTTGAAGCTTCTACTGTGGGGCTATTCGGCCATTCCCCCCATATCCACATTACTTATTCTACCTTTGCATTCTCCTGTGAGAGTGGCTGAGCAGAAGTGGGCTGGGGCAGGAGAAGGACATGCAAAAGCACTGGAGCATCCCTGGCGAGCAAGGCTGGAGTGTTTGCCCTAACAGGTTGTGCTGCCAAGGGGCAAAAGTCTCCAGCCCTCCCCCCTAGATCTGGCCTGGGTGCTGCCAGGTCACCCCGTTAACAAATTTACCCAGATTTAAACTGAGAAGTTTTAAACAAGTGATGCTTCAGGAGAGATCTCTAAACATTTTGTGAACCTCGGTCGCGTCTCCAGCTGTGTTTCACTGATACCAAAGAAGAGCTCCCCACCACCAAAACTGTAGCAGAAAGAAACACTTTTGCTCTTAAGTGCTTCTGTCTCTTATCTTACGATCCCAGCAGTTGAAAGCAAGCCAAAGAGAATGATGATAAATTACACAATCAAGGCAGAATATTACTTGCAGAAACAAAACCAAATCACACTAATTCCAACAACGGAAGGAAAGAATACCCCTCCCAACAAAAAAAAAACCACAGAAAGCACCCAGCAAGGAGGGACAGCCAGTGCATGGGAACCCCCCATCTGCAGGACAGCATGTCTGCCTTTGCTCCTGTCACTGCTCTTTGTTTTGGAGATGGAAATCCATTCACTTTTCTTTTTTCTGCAAGATCCATTTGGATGCTGTATTTTGATCAGTGGCCACAGCAACTGCTGAGGTCAAGCTCAAACCAGACCTCAGGTTTCAGAAGAGGAGGTGCAGAGGGAACACTTGAGCCCTAGCCTTTAAAACTGCTCTACAGAGACAAAATTATTCCCTAACTAAATCCTGCTTTTAGTTGCATGTGTGTAAATGTGGGGAACTCCACTGATGCCAAACTGGGAGACTGTCTATTTACAACCTGCAACTGAGCAGAATAGGGCCAGCTGTGCTTATGAAATCACGGGGTTCAAAATACCATTAATTTCTTGGGGCTGGAGTAGTGTTCTACTTGTGTCTTGATGCTTTTGCAGCAAGACATAAAGAGCTCAGATGTAAATGCTGATAAAAAGTGTATGGTGGCAATGGCCAGGATATGGGGACAGGAGTGTGACTTTCAGCAAGGAGATCCCCTGCCCTTCAGCCTGCCCAAATCTTGGTCAGAAGTCTTCACTGTGGAAATTATGTGGAGTTTTTCTATAAGCTCCCAACAGTTCAGTATCTGCTATCTTTCCTAAAATGAGAAATTGAAGTTGAAGCCTTTTCTGTGTGAGTATCCATGCCAGCTGCAGTATGGTGGGGTGCACAGGGTGCACCAGGGGTTCACTCAGATGTACCACAGCCCTCTGGAAACAGGGAGCAACTTAACACAGAGGAAACTAGAGATCTGGTGCAACAGCTCTAAGTGCCACCGAAGGAGTGGCTATTTCAAACAGAGTCAGTGCTCAGTGCCACCTGCTTTTCCAGTTTTTTTTTTTTTCCCAAGGGTTTTTTAGTATAATGGATGAAATACTGCCTCTGCTGTGAGAAGCCAACCAGCTAAAGCTGGAGCAGGATATAGAACTCTCAACAAAAAATACTTATGGCTTTTACAATACAGCCAATATCAGGCAATAGCACAGGCACTATTGCCTGATATACTCATGTCTGTCTGTGACTGGCTTTCAAAATTTCTTGTGCAGGATAAATGAAGGCAAGTGTGGCAGCAGAGCACGCTGCAGGGAATTGTGCCTGTGGCAGGGATGGACCTGTCTGGGATGTGAGAGGCTCAGAGTGCCCAGTGAAGGGCATCTGCCTCTGCCACCTGCCTCCCCTCTGAACTCCTCAAAGCAAAATCAGATGGGAATTTCATTGAGGCAAACTGGAGGGAGCCCTTTATCAAATTGGGCAAATTTGCTCTCTTCTCTGTTTCATGCTTTAATGCACAGCAGCACAGCAGTTGTGGTGGCTGTTCCTGAATGAGTACCAGCACAAAGAACCTGGGAAGTGCATTCAGTAATTAAAATAAGGATAAATTTGTCTTGCTTTGGTATATGAGCTTCTGGGGAGCAGGGAGAGCCAGTGCCACCACTGCCACCAGCTGTGCCTTTGCCTTTCAGCGAGGTCCTGCTTTCCCAGCTCAGCACTCCTTGTCAACCCTCAGCCTGATCATCATGGAGCTACACTACACCAGATCCTGCACTTCCCACCCAAGATCCTGCCAGTGCTTTACAGAGGGCTTCAAGCACCACTCCTGACCTCTCCCCACTTTGGGCTACTCTGGGAGATGCTGAGCGTCAGCAATGCCAGGCAAAGCCCCAAGGAGTTGTGGGTGCTCAGAATCTCTCTCATGAAGCCCTTGAGCTGGATGAACCCCATGCCAGAGGCTCGTGAATTAAATGTCTTGCTTGAGGGCAGCACAGCAAATCAGTGGCAGAGGAGGATGATTGCTACCCCTCTATCTTCCTTTTCTTTGCGTCTGCTCACAACACACAGCAACTTGAAGGAGATGGGAGCTGCAGGATTAGATTGTGCTCTGTCATTTCCCTTGCACAGCTCTGGTCAGATCCTGCCTGACTCAGTGTACCTGCCTCTCCTCTGAAACAAGGGTGCTGATTCCCAGCACGACAGGAATGAGGCCAAGGATGAGCTGACAACTTAATTCTCCCCATGGTTTTCAAGGAGGAGGATGGGGGGAAAAGCAGCAGTTTTTTAATCTGAGCAGTAACAGCTCTGCTAAAGTCAGACTTGCAGTCCAATTTGAGGAGCAAGAAACGGCATGCCATTGAAATCCTCCCATGTAGCAAAGTTAATGCCAATTCCTATCTACAGAAATAGCCTATCCCCCAGCAAACTGGAAGAGGGACATTACTTGAAGTAATTTTTAAAAGGAAAAAAATGCTCAGAAAAGTATTTCTATTTAAATAATCCAGTTGAGATGTTTGTAGTTAATGGAAAAAAATACAACATATACTGTTACCTACACTGAGAAAAGAGTAAATCACTGGGGGAAAGAATGAGTGTTCATTAGTTAGAACATTGCTAGACTCACATACATATATATATTTATATATATATATATATATGTATATATATATGTACAGCACCAGAGACTGTTAGATTCCATTCCTCCTGGAGTCATTGCAGTTTGTGATAAATGAAACATTTCAGAATTGCAGTATAAAATATGGCCATAAAAAATCTTCTTTCTTCTAGTCCTTGGCCGAGCAGGGCGGGAGGGCACCGAGCCCCCAGCCAGCCCTGCTGCCTGCCCGCTCCTCGCCGCCCCGGCGCTCACTTGCTCCCTGTGTGCACTGTGGTCACTGTGGTGGCTCTGGGTCTCCGGTCCCCTCCTACCGCAGAAACGCCTGAAGAAGCAGATGAAACAAAACTACAGAGAGTGGATGGAGACATACCTAAAAGGAAAGCCAGAAACACAGTTAGAAATGTTATTTTTGGAGGCGGGAACTCGGGAGAAGCTGGGTGTGTTTCGTAGCACGCTACGGAGCGGAGAGGATTGCTGTTGGAGAAGGGGTTGCTGCTCTTCCTGCAGTGGTGGGTTGGCTGGGTACCTCCACAGGGCATCTTCTGCCCATGGTCATTCACCTGCAGCCACCAGCAGCAAGGCACACACATCTCACAGGGACTTAAGGTCCAGTTTTGATATGGATTCAGCCATACCGATGCCATAGTTCCAGGGCTGAAGACAAAAAGTTGTGGGATGCAAAAATCCCTGCAGCATTGTGCTTGCTGAGAATAATTTCCTCTTGGGCATGTTAAAGATGATTAAATGTCTCACCATGGCCATTGAACTAAACAAACAGACTATATAACTGGGCTGAACACTGTTCCCCAGGCATCCTGGGAAGCTGCTGATAAAGTACAGTGGATGAAATTCATTGCTCAGTTCCAGTAAATCTAGAGAGAATGTAAATTTGTGTGACTTGGACATCACTTTAGTGACAGCTCACATTGCTCCAGGCTTTGCTGGGCTGTCTCCAGGACTTCCAGCTGAGATGTAGGTTGACGTGAGGTTGAGTATCTCTTGAGTATCAGTATTCTGGTGCAACAAAAGCTGTTAGGTGGGGACCTGGCATGGTCACCTTGCTCTGATAAGATGCAGGCTCAGAGTGATTAGAAATATAGTTCATTTTTCCAGACTGGTAAATAAAGAATGAATGAAACCTATATTAATATATTCTCAGACTGAAGTTTGACATGGCCTTTTGATCTTCAGGTTCTTTTTGATACTTGTTAAGACTTTTAACTACTTTTCCATGCTTCAAGGAGGCAGTGCAATTTCAAGGATGACTATGCTGTACCTATACTTGGCCACATTCCATTTCCCATTGACATTTGACAACTTGGCTGCAATTTATCTTGTACCTTAAAAATACAGACCTCTAAGACCTATAAATAAGCCAGGCAGTCCAATCATGACTAAATTGAATAAACCAGCCATGGACTGAGAATCAGGCCAATACACTTGAGAAATCCTGACTGATTCCCTTAGGAATCCCTTCCTGTTTCCTCACAGGTAGCATAATCCAGTCTAATGCCTGATCTCTGCTCTGCCCTACTACAGAGGTTTTGGATGCAGCCTGACATAACTTACTCTCAGGCAAAGTCTGTACTTAATTGTCTTCAATGATGTGAAATTGCTGCATTTGAAACTACTTGGAGAGTTCATAAAGTGTCTATTAATAGCATCAGGCAGCATTCTATTGTGCAATGGTGGCACAGCTGGATCATGTAACTTGCTGCAAGGGATCTTTCTCGTGCAAGGAATCTGTACCCAGAGAAAACTGCGGAGAAATAAAGAGGTGGACAGAGACCTCAGAGATTTCCTTTGTCCTATCAGGAGGTCATGGGTGGAATGTATTTGATATGTCAGCTCCCTCTTAACTCTTTGTATTTGCTGCTGGCTCTCCTCATTGGTTCTCTGGGGCTCCAGCATCTCCTAACTCTGTAAATGATCTCCTTGAGGAAGGCAAGCTCTTCTGCATTGTCTGCCAAGCTGGATTTAACCTGGGATGCTTGGAAATCTTCCAATATTTTTCTGCGTTGTATTTCTGGCATGTAAAAACTCATCCTGTCTTGACACATCTGGTTTAATCCTTCATGTCCTGGTTGACTTCACCACTGCAAAATATGGTTGGATTCTCCACAGGGACCTGCTGGTTCTGTAGTGGTTAAACACATTTCTTTCTCTTCCCACCCTTCCTATTCACACCCGTTTTAACGCTTTTCAGACTACTAATTGCCATTAATTAACACCATTTGAGATTAATCAAATGGATGGATAGAGATTAATCACCCACCAGTTTAGCAGCAAAACATTCATCAGATGCTCTAGACCTGACTGGGGTCCAGCCTTGCCATACTGCAACAGGAACCAAAATCAAGGGACATTTCTCCCATGCAGGGGGTTTTCTACATGGCTGCATGGCTACTGCATGGTTGGAAGTGTTTTGAGGATGGTCAGCATCATTCCTTTGCAGGTGCCAGGTGTGTGCCAGGATCACAGTGATATTTTTTTGGCAGCAGCTGTAGGATTTGGCACAGGGCATCACAAACTGGACACTGGATATGAATCCCCACCAGGCCCAGTATGCAGACGGAAGGGGCTCACCCCTGGCTCAGCCATAGCACAGGCTGAAAAAACATCTCACAGAGTACCCAGAAGGCAAAACCCACCCCAGCTGTGCGGGAAAATGCGCCTGTGGCAGCAAGAGGAAACAGCTTCCATACAGAGCCAGAGGGACTGTGGCTGGTAGCATGTCCTCATCAAGGAGCAGGGGGTGGCAAGCAGGGGTGGCAGAAGCAGAGAGCAGCATTATCCAAAATCCATCCGGAGTAATAGGTGCTTTCAACTCCAGGATAGTGCGAGGTACAGTCTAGAAATTACTACCTCAGTCCACAGCAAAGCATTCCTTTTCAGTGTTGCTCTTTAAAGTAATCCCCCCAACTGCAAAGTCCACATCCCTCCATTTCATTATATAAAATATCTACAGATGGACAGGAGAGAATAAAAGAAATGCTCAGAAGCCAGAGAATAAACAGGCTTCATTGCAAAGGATGCATTTCTGTCTTCCCAATAATCTCTTTGCTGCCATATCCCCTTCCCTGGCATTCAGAAAAAAATATATATCCCAAACATCTGAGTCCAGTGGGCAGCTTGCAAATATCAATTATAGCACAAAACAGACGCAGCAGAGGGCCAAGTCCCACAGTGGTGCACAGAGTCTGAATCCTGCTCAGACAAATGAACCTCTTCATGCAGGAGCTTAACTTGGTCCAGAAAGAAAGAAGCTGGGTCTGACTGGCAGGATCAGTCTTCTCCATGGAAATGGAAAGTATGGCAATTTTTACAGAAAAATGCCTTATCATAATACTGTAAACTCAAACACAAACAGTTTGAGTAAAGTTCTTCAAATTTCAACCAAATACAAAACTCTGTTGCTGTGGGGGTCTGGGTCTTTTTCCCAAGCAAAAGCCCTTTTTCTCCACAAGAAACTGATTTTTCTCTCAAAAATCACCAAGCTAAACTTTTTTTCTTTTTTTTTTTTTTTTTTTTAAGCGCATAGCCTTTTCCAATTGAAACACCATTTTCCTGGCCAGCCAAAAATGACAGCCAGTTCCAAATCCTTATTTTAAACTGCTTGCACAAAGCCAAACCTATGGGCAGCGAGGACTGCAGCCTGGGGGCCAGGGGAAGATGGGGATGCCATGGGTTTGCTCAGCTGGTTTTGCTCGGTGGCAGGAGCGTTTTTCCTGGGATGTTGGCTACTCACAATCTTTCCGCGTGGCTGCGTCGGGGAGCGGCGTGGGGAGGCTGAGGGTGCTGGACACGCTGGCACTGGCACTGTCCAGGCTGCTGCCGAGGTGTAGCCGCCTCATGTGCCGCACCACTGCCGTGGCATTGAACGCTTGCTGGAGAAAAGCAGCAAGAAAGAAATAGGGAATAAGAAAAATTGGAGGCGGGAGGGTTACTTGTGCTCCTCTTCTAGCTGCTCAGGGTGTCAGAAGGGAATAAGCCTGTTGTCTTTCAAATTTTTCCTGAATTCTAAGCTGGTGTCTTGCGTTGCAATGCAGGATGTGACCAAAAGTATGTATTCGATCACCATCTGTTGAAAACAGGTGGGGCAGTGATCCTTATCTCTGTGGGAGATATCTTCTGTTAATGAGCCACCTGTTAAACCAGCTGGGGCAGTGCTCTTTATCTTTTCCACAACCCATCCTTCCTCCAGGGAGCTATCTCCTGTTAATGGGCCACTGAGTCCCACTGCATGACTGATAAAATTACATCATCCCATTGGGAGATGCTCCACCCAGGGGGAGGAGCCAAGCCTTTCCTACCCAGATAAAAACTGAGATCTGGAACATGAGAGCAGCCTTTCTCCACTGGATTCCAGAAGAAAACCAGACCTTTCCACAGCATCACTGGACCTTTGGAGGAAAACTACACCCTTCTACAGTACCACTGCTTCAATAGAACCACATCTGTCATCCAGGAGGACTGCAGCCACCATTTAATGGGGCTGCTACCAACACCCTGACTGACTGATGGGGTGTCAGGTTGTATTCTGACTCTGTCAGTGTTTTTCTGGGTTTGTTCTCTGTAATACTGTATTTCTATTTTAATATTCCTAGTAAAGACCTGTTATTCCTATTCCCATATCTTTGCCTGAGAACCCCCTTAATTTCAAAATTATAATAATTTGGAGGGAGGGGGTTTACATTCTCTATTTTAAAAATAGGCTCCTTCCTTTCTTGGCAGACATCTGTCTTTTAAACCAAGACAACTAGAAAGTGCATTATCAAACCTGTGTTCTCCTAGCGCTCAGCTGGGATGCAGCAGCCTACAAAAAAATCATATTTGACAAATCCATCCCTACCCCAACACATATTTCTTCCTGTCCCTGCCTGGTGCAGACCTCACCAAAAACCACAGGTGCTTTAGCTATGAGCAGCCCCCGCCCCATTTCTCACACTCATTATATTTGTTTTTTGGCAAACATCACCCTGTATAAAAGGCCCTGCAGGGTCATGTAACCTAAGCCTGGACCAACCATTCTGACTACAATTTTGGGCTACAAAAGCACTACCCCTGCCACAGGGGTGGCAGAGCTGTGTGTCAGTGTCATTCCTCAGCACACATCACTTACTCTCCATTTGCTTTTCGCGAAGTTCTTCCGGATCTGAGCGCTGACCGACTCGTGGATGTTTTTGTTGAGTGCTGTATCTCCAGCGATCCTGAAATGGACAGAGCAGGCACATTTTAAGAGATCTTTTCCTCTCCTTGAATACTCTTACTTTTTCCCTTCAGCAGAGAGGCTGCTCCCAGGTGTGACTGCACCTGCAGTGACAATAATTTCATTCACAGACGGGCTCAAACTTCCCATGGATGTCTCTGCTGGCAGCTGTGCTGGAAAATCTGGGGCAATAAAAGCCAGTGTAGATAAGGCTTGTGGGTCTGGCAGCTACAAAGAGGTATGGGCTGATTTTGTTGGTGCATGGCTGCTTTCTATCACCATTACAGCCCCAGATTAAAATGTTCTACCTTTTTTTTTTCTTTACATCCAAAGACTTTACATCAACAGGCTGAGACTACTTTTAGCCTCAGCTATGCAGAAGCTTCCAGAGCCACTCCAACCTGCCTGATTTCTATTTGCACTGGAGATTTTCCTGCCACCCTGCAATGTACATAGTCATTCATCATGATTAATGTAGATTTACAGTAAAGCAGAGACATGGACACTCATTGAAGCAGCACAGGCTGCACAAAGAGCTTAAGCTGAACAACTCTTAACCTAAAAGAATTGATTGATCTTGCATAGTTTCCTTAACAGATAAAGTTACATTCAAATCTTCACTAAACTCTGTTTCTTCAAGGGGATTTTATTGATTCATATAACTCCTCAAGGCATGAGATCTGTTGGAAGAGCAGCAGCAGTGAGCTGATGTTGGGCCATGTGCTGGGGTAATTAGTACTAATGTAGGTGATGAAGGGAGGCAAAGATTGCTTTGTATGTTGTATGTGATACTTTTAGAAATCAATTTTTTTAGCCACAGTGTAGAAAAACAATGTGCATTAGCAATAAAAAACTACAAGAAATTTAATAATCCACCAGGACCAGAGTCTCCCAGTCTGGGAAGCTCCAACAGGATAATCAGAAGGTCTGGGGGACTCAGCAGGCATCTAGTCCTTCTTCTGCCCAGCTCTGTCAAAATAATTTTGACAAATATTTGACAAACCAGTTCCTAAAGATCTCCAAAAGATGGAGACTCCTCAGGCAACCTATTCCAGTGCCTCACTGTCTCCTAGAAGACATGGAAAATAGTTTATTCCCTTTGTCTTTGAAGCATCCTTTCACATATTTGAAGACTGTTATCATGACTTCTCTCAGTCTTCCCTTCTCTAGACTAAACAAACTGATTCTTTCACTGTTTCTTCATAACTCATGTTTTCTAATCCTCTGATCTAGTGAGCCCCTCTGGACTTTCTCCAACTAGTCCACATCTTCCTTCGAGGGCGGCACCCGAACTTTCTCTGTTTTCCAACTAAGGCAGCAGAATGGCAGCACTGCTTTGTGCTTCTAAAAGACAAAACTCTGCCTGCATACCCCAGCCTGCTGCTTCCATTTATGTGTCCTGTGCATTGGAGACACCCCTTTCACTCTGCCCAGATCATTCCAAACTGTAACCCTGTTCTTCTAAGGACATGCTGCCTTCTCTGCCTTCATGTCCTTGGCTTGTCTAAGAAATACTGAGACCAGCCTTCTCCAAATTGCTGCCTGCCTTCCAGCTGACAGCCACCTCCCAGGTTCTTCCTCAGGGAGATGAGAGGAATGACTTACCCTTGGGAGGAAGGACTAAACCCTCAAGTCCCAAGAGTGGACACTCACCAATCCCATCCTGTTGAAACTGAGTTCATCTCTATTGGTTTATTCAAGAGTGATGGAGCCAGCAGGATTGTGGGCAGGAAGGAGCAGGGCTTCCATTCAGGGTAAGTCTCACCCAGCTGGGAAGGGTCCTGTCTCAGTGCCACTGCCATGTAGCCTCTGCCTCAAGCAGACAGAAGAACTGGGCAAAGCACAGCTCCCAAATGGCACCTGACTTCCTCTCTTGGGGCTCTGTGCTGTTGATAAAGGGGAGTGTTTGGCTGAGAACTGGATGATCTTCAGATCTTTCTTTGAAGATGACTCCTTCTGATCATCTTTCCCACTGACAGCAAGGCAAGCTGGATTTCCTAGATTTCCCACTGGACCCAGGTGACCAAAATCTTTGTGAGGCACTATCTGTGTTAAGCATCGTGTTCACTGTTCCATCCTCTGTCCTGCACAGTGAATATTGCCAGGCTCAGCACAGACCCTGATGGATCCCAAGCAGTCCACACTCCCAGACAGCCCTAGAAGAGTTTCCTGGTGGGAATGCAAACTGCTAGTCAGAGTCATTCCAAAATGCCACGAGCACTCTGCTCTGTCCAAGAACACCTCCCTGGTGAAGGCAGGTGCCCTCAACACACACCAGCTGGGAGCACTGGCTGTCACACTACAGATCTCAGAAGAAGCTACAAGCCAAACCATCCCCTCAGTAACTGATCAAAGAGACCAAGACAAAAAATTCATTTACACTTGCAAAGGACATTCTTCCAGCAAAGCTAATGATGCATTTTGCTTTACACACAAGTTGGTTAATAAAGTCTATAAGAACAGATCCTCTTTCCCACCTGTCAAATCTTATTTTGGAAAGAGAACAAGTTCTTGGGGCATGATGCCCTCGCCAGCTTTTCCAGAAGATTGTTCTTGCCAGTTTCCACAAGGATTTGAAAATACATTTTTGTCATATGAAGCATATGATTGGGCTCCCATGTGCATTATATATTTTTTTATTATTATTTTTAGTTTAAGGATAATTTTCTGAAATGCTGGTGGTTTCAATAAGAAACTGCTGGTTCCAAGAGTTCACAGACTGCCTTCTACCACCCTTAACTCTACGTTCACTATGCAATTCTTGTAATTCCAGGAAAAAAGTCTTGGTGTTTGGGTGTTTTCCAGATAGCTAGAATAGTATTTTTTTACTCCACAAGAGGATGGACATCCTGTGAAGCCCTCAGATGCTACAGCAGTGGAACCATCCTATATCTTTGGTCTCTTCAGCAACATTAGCACCTTGCAGATGATAGCTTCTAATCAGAGCAAAACAACAGCACTGCTGGGGCTAATTTAGTGCAGCAGGAGCTGTTCAAACACGTGCTGGTATGCTGAATGGTGTGGCTCAGAATGCAGCCTCAGCTGCCAAAGCCAGGAGTGGGACTGTTCTCCAAGCTGCCTTTGAAGAAATACCCTGCTAATCCTGCAATGCTGTAACACGAGCACTGTGCTTCCGGACTGAATTTTGCACTTGGAGGATTTTGTAACTTTTATGAAATACTTGTGGTGTTATAGTGTTTATAGTATAGTTTTACTTCTAGGAAAACAAGAGTAATGTTATCATCCCTTCTCTGTTGGTGCTTTTCTGGAAATGTTGGGAGTTCAGGACACAGAAGAAGTGGAGGTGAGCAGGGAGAAATCACATCTTTTGTACTCTCAACTGGTGGATATGAAAAATGAGATATGCTTTGGACACACAGATCTACTCTGTGGTGGGTATCATGAGCATCCTCACATCTATACCAAATGTATTTAATTATGAACTTTAGTCCTCTTGCTGAGAAGAGAAAGAATGAAATTAATAGATACTGGTTTTAGTGCATTTATAATTTCCCTTCCACATTTCCCCAACTCTCCAAGTCCACAGGCTATAAATAATTTCGTTTTTCCTTTTAGGAAAAAATACCTTACTATCTTTCTTTTTTTTCTTTCTTTCTCTCTCCCTCTCTAGCACAACATATACATTGCCTCTAGAAATCAGCTCCATTTTCACTGAGAAACTGCAATCAACTTGAGCTAATCAGACTGATGCTTATCTAGTTCTGAACAATAGTTTCTGGCTTTGCAGTTAACTTTGAAGTTAACTATATCAGCACTGAAGTTTTTTTTACCAACTGTACTACTGGGCCCAGTAAAAGACATTGCTTCTACCTACCACACACATACACAAAAATAAAATTAAACAAATCAGAATAATGCATCATCTGTCATCCTGCTGAGCATCACCCAGAACCAAGCAAGGACTGATTAGTCTAAGTGGAACCTGGATTTTCTTTCAGGATTCCCATTTTGCATCACCTGAAAGCAGCTGCATCCTAACAATGTTTTGGGGAACTTTATATTGAAGCTGGTTTTGCATCCAGTTGTCAATATATAACTGTCTCAATGTACAGAATTGGATACCAAGAGACCAAGAATGATGGCTCTGTATCCCAAACACATCCACTGAAGCTAAGAAGGGTATTTCTCATGAATAACAATAACAAATCTAATCCTGCACATGAGAGGAATCTAATCTAATGATCAAATATTATTTCATAGCATCTAATTTATTTTAGCTCTCTAGCTGACTTCAAACTTATCACACCAATTTATCTGGCCATACCACTTCTAAGCTTTGAGAGGAACCTCCAACAAAGACAAAACCAGCAAATTTCCTTTTGGACAGTTCTTCATTAGCATGCTGCAAACAAATGTCTCTCTCATCCTCCCTGCCCACCACGGCAGGCAGAGCCTTTCATCTACCATTATTTTCTGAACCTTCCTTCTGAAGGCAGCCAACTCAAATGCTGTGCTGGCCAAAAAGTGCTTGGAAATACTCCTGAGTATGATGAAGGAAACATGGAGTTGGCTGTAATGGATAATGCTGAGGGATCATAACTCTTCTATATGTACACATAAACACACACACACCCATGCATGTATATAAATATACACACACACACTGTATCAGTGATGTTCCAAAATAAATAGAATGTAGGGATGAACTCGATAAGAGTTTGATTTAATGTTGTAAACATCAGCAGTTCCCTTCAGGAAGGCCTTTTCACACTTCAAACAGTATTGTCTGAGAACTGAGCTCTTTGTAAACCATGTCCTTTCCCTGAGTGGAAATTATTATCTGGCTTGTGCTCTCTGGCACATAATCAACACTTGGAGTCATGGTCACCATTTGCAGAGGCTCAGTCCTTGCCAGAGCTTTGTGATTCCTTAGTTTAGGTGTGGCTGGACGTTGGCACATCCCAAGGATCCTCTCTCCATTTGCACAAGCAATGAGGAAAGGCCAGGACCACACTCCTACCTGCAGGCATGGGGGTCTAACTGGTGCCACAAGCTCCTTCTCCCTTCTACAGTCTGTGCATTTAAAATCTCTATATGGAGGCAATTAATCCATCAGCCTTTAATTTAGATGTCCCAAATTGCCTTTGATGCCATACTGCCTTCAGCACACAGTTTTAAATCCCATTTAAGTTCACTTGGTTAATGCATGACAGAGTAAATAAATTCATAGCAGCCCTTCTAACTTCTGTATTAACTTCTTAACTGTTGGACTTTGTCCTCACCCTCTGGGTACTGTTTTCTTTCCCTCTGATCCAAGCCTGGAGGCTGAATTTGGCTCTGCAGGACCTAGTTTGACCTGATGGGGAGCACACTTCGATAATCCTTGGGGGTCCCTTCCACCTCAGGATATTCTGTTTCTATGAATCTATAGCTGGAAAAAACAGGTCCTCAGGTTTCTGCTGCTCCCCCCTAATCACTGCAGACTGAGCCATTGCACTAAACAGGATGTAGGCTCTGACATGGCAATATATTTAATAAACTTAATTGCTGTCTTTAATATGAGCCAGGGAAACATTAAAATGTATCAAGCTGCAGCAAAATCACCCCATTCTTTTGTTACTTTCATTTTCCATGTCCTTTTTGAAAAGTCACAGTGGGAAAAGCTAAGCAGAACATTGCACCTTTGCAACACATCATAAACAGTGCAAACCTCACTGAAAGATGCATTATAAAATAAATAACTTTTCCAGTGGAAAGCATAAGTCACCTGTATATTAAACTGGAGAAATCTGTATAAATGGATACTCAGGGTTGGAGTCATTATACCAACAAGTCTCACATATTGTATTGTTTCTGCTACCATACTTCACTGTAATTATTAGCCTCTTTTTCTGCCAGCTCTGAGTTTAACATACCATCCCCCTACCAAGGCCATTTGATTATAAATAGCAAGACATCACATAAATGCAGGCATGTGGCGAGCAGATACACTGAACAAAAGTGGGCCATTGGGAAGAAGTATTGACTTTTTTTAGGGTCTGATCCTGTGCAAACATTTAGTCATACAAATAGCTGTCTATTCTGGTCCAGCTTCCCAAAATTCAAAGATATTATTTACTTTAAAGGCACAAATGAAATATCTTGAAAGATCCAGTTTCTGCAAGCCCTGTTTGGAAGGTTTTAATGGAAACATGGTGATTAAAATAAAATGTGTTTTAGAATCAGTTTGTTCTTCACAAATACTACATATTGAAACAACAAAATATCATGGTCTAGTAGCCATGTCATGCACAGTTAACTACTTTTAGCCCAATCAATTATAAAATATGTATTAATTATTCATGATTTGATATATTTCTTCCTAATTTGTGAAGATCCCAATGATTTGATACTGCAGAGGAAGATTTCACAGGAGGAAGAAAAAGCAAAAGCTGGAAGATGTTACTACATGGAGCCTCACCAGATACATATTAATTATCTACCATTTGCACAGCAACAGTGCCCCAGGGAGACCTGTGTTCTACTGAAACAAGGAGACAACCCCAACTCTTACTGAAGTATGGCAAAACTCCCAGTAGCCTCAGTGGAATCAGGATTTCTCTTCATGAGAACTCTAGGGTTCAGAGTTGCTTCTCCAGTTACGAAGAAAAAAGAAAAAATACCCTTTATGAGATGCCATCAAGGGCTGCTTGCAGTGCAAGCACTCTGCAAAAGCATATAATTTATAGGCCCACTTCAGCCTGCTCTGATCTTCTCTTTCCACCAAGCCCACAGTCTTATGTACCTCTGTCCTTCTGATAACACACAGAGAAGATGATGCTCTCTTGGCACTGTGGAAGGTGATGTAGCCAAGGGGGATGTGTGCTGAAAAACCCATGCTCATCTGAAAAAGGGGTGTGGGATGATACAAAAGCTGAGGTCCCCTCTCTCTGCACACATGCACCCCTGTCTCCAGCTGCTGCAACACTGAATGGAACCATGAGAGAGAGGAACTCAGGCCTGGAGCTGTTGGAAACTTAAATACCCCCAGGGTGAGAGAAGGACACAGCTGACCACTGGGACAAAGCACAGAACTCTCTTCCACCTCCACTGAAAAAGCCTTCCCTCCCTTCCAGGAGAAGGAAAGGATGTCACTGCCACAGATGAAATGGCTAGAATGAGAAAAGAACCAGTAAAACCCTCACTATTTCCTGACATAAGGGATCTAGGTGGAAAATGCTCCTTGAGCAATGCTTTGGCAGAAGGAGATCCTATCACTGACTCCAAAATAACATCTGGGTCAGCAGACATGATTATCCAAAAAGGCATTTATCACTATGGGATGCAAACCCTCCAAAGAAAATCACTGCACAGCTCTCCAGAGAGGTCCATACCTGCAACCTCCGTGCTACAGGAAGCTTTTCAGAGCAAGGGGGAATGAGGTGGAGTGCTGCTCATGAGCACATGAGGAGAACAGAGGCAGATCTGAAGCCATAGCTTTGGAAACCTCCATGCTTTGCTTTCAGTACAGCTGTCCTGTAATCCCCCGGCACAAATTGTCTCTGTGTCAAAGGGAGGTGGATTCAGGATGTGGAGTAGAAACACGGTAAATATTTTCATCCTCCCTTCTGCAGTGCTATTTGCATGTCTGACATTTCAAAGGCTGACCCTGAGCTGTGCTGGGAGCAGTGTCAGAACATGAAGTCTTGAAAATGAACCACTGGATGGCAAAGTCAGCCTGGCAGAAGAAGACCCCCTGCCACGGAAATGGGGAAAAATCTTTCTGGGGGGTTGTTTTTAAATGGAAGGTCGGATTCTGTGGAAAATAATACGAATTATGTAGCAGTCTGTGAGTTTCCATTGGCCCTTGGCCATGACATGCAAAAGAAAAAGAAACAAAACCACACAAAAAAAAGGAACGAAAACACTTTTTATCATTTTGTTCCTTTCAGAGGGCCCAGAAGCTGTGTGTGTTACAAGTGCCACGTTTCTTTGTTGCACTCCAGCCACCAACACAGATGTAAGCAGGGCCAGGAGCTGGATGCTTATATTTTGTGTATCTTGGATGTAAGGCTTTGGAAAATCTGTCTCTGAGTTGTACTAATGGTCACCTCACTCCCTACTGGGAGCTGCATTCCCATTGTTTACTCTGTATTCCTAATACTGACTTCTTTAATTTCCCGAGGCTCAGGTCAGTATCATTTAGAACCAGGCTGGGATTTTTTCATCTCACAAAAGCAGGATTTCATTTCTCAAATTTCCTTTTTGTTGCACAGACAATGCAAAAGGAAGTGGCATTTGAGGCAATTGTGATAGTATTAAAACAGAGTCTAATGCATACCTGGGGTGAAAATGTCATACCATTAACTCTTTTCTGTTATATAACAACAAAAATAATACCTCACCTTGCTTATATAATATTCACTGCCTTAAAAGAGTTAGATCCAGAGCCCATGTGTGGGTGCAGCTGTGTGGGATGATGCTCTCAGTCACTCAGGGCTGGTCAAAAGCACATGAGTCACCCTTGTTCCAGCTACACAAACCGTGGGTAATATTGGTGAAGTCACTCATATGCAAAGGCATCATTTAACTTAAAGCACTTTACTCATTTTGGCACATCCCACTGCTGCACTACAGTCAACATACATAATTCAGCATTTTACTAATCCTTACACAGGTTGGTACTTGAGATTAAAGTCCATCACAGTTTTCCAAGAAAATCTAGAGTACAGAGGCAGAGGTTGTAAGAATAAAAGTGTAGAGTTATGTTGTAGAGGTCAGTACAATATGTGACAGTAAAAACACTTCCACACATGAATGTAAAAAGGTGCTCTGTGTCCTGAGGGTTTCTCAGAGCAGTGAGTGCTGCTTACCAAGGGTGCCGTGCTGCTTGCTCACAGGTGTATCTTTTATTAGGGTCCTTCTCCATCAAATTCCGAATGAAGTCTTTAGCTGTTAAAAAAAAAAAAAAAAAACAACAAAAAAGAGAGAATGATTGAAAGCAATGAGTTGATGCCCAGTTCTGCTGCCACATGATGAGCCAACAGCACTGATCAGGCTACCAGGTTCCACCTGGCCACAGCACAAGAAAACAGCCCTGGGTCATTTGTCATTTATTAGTGTAGGTAGAACCAAAGTGACTTAGGACCAAATACAAACTGTTTAGTGTACTAGATAAAAGCTGAAGGCATCTACTCCTGCAGGTGTATTTAGGAGTGGGATGGATAACTCAGAGTCAGCAGAGTACAACCCTGCCAGCCCCTTGGTCCCTGGTCAGCCGTGTGCTGCCTCTTCTTGGTGCTCTGAATGTGGCCACATGCACTGGATGTGCTGAGTGGAGAGGGAGGAGGTCAGATGCCACAGTAAGAGGAGCTTCACATTGCTCATTCCAAGCAGTCACACACATGGACAGCTGTGAGGACATGTTGCCTATTTAAGAGGAATTCAGCAAGGAAAATGGACTCCCTGGAGCAGGAGGCAGTGTGTTTTTAATTGACACTATAATGGAAGGAATGGAGATTGCAGCGTGGCGTGGGTCCAGCAGTTTCAGGACAGTGTAGCTGAAGGAGCCACAGCAAAGCCAAATATGGCAGGAAAATCTTTGTGCTGATTTAGGTGATGGACTTTCCCCCACGAGGCAGAAGGGTCTGCCAGCAGACCTTCATATTTTCTCTGAAAATCCTTATTAGTTTAAAAAAGCTTCTCATCACATATATTTTTGAGCAATCCATCACAATGATATCTGGACTGCAGATGTAAGCAGCATAAAATGTTGCTCTGTGTGGAGATAAGAGAATATATAATCATCTTTATAATAAAAACACTCAATTTTTATCTCTCCTGCTTCAATCAGTAGCACTAATAAATCAGAAAACTGCATTTATTGGGATATTTTTACATGATGGAATATTCCTAAATTCATTTCTTCTTGTGCATGAAGTAGCAGATGTTTCCCTGGGTTGGACAGAGCAAGGACGCTGAGCTTGGGTGACCTCTTGGAGACTACACAGTGTGTCAGGGACAGATGCAGGTGCAAAGCTGAATGTCCCCTGCTGTCACCCCCGGACACAGACCCATGCTGGAGCCAAAAGCCCTTAGGAACATCTGCCTGTAAGACATTTGGTGTATCTGCCCCTCTGCCAGGCTGGCTGGAGCAGGGGTGGGTGGGTACTATGGATTAAATATCTCCTGCACTGGGTGAGGAGCATCCACCCTCATGGACAGTCCTTGCAGTTTCTGGATCTGCTCACCTGCCTCATTTGAAAGCCATTAATTTCTTGGGTTTTTTTGCTGCACAGTCTGAGGACTTGCTTTGGAGCTTCAGTGAAGTGTCAGCATCAGAGCCAAGCTCATTTGCCACCTTTTTATTAATGACACATTAACAATCTGCTTTTCATTTGGATACAATGAAGAAATTAAGCTGCTTTTTCTTCTTGGGACAGTCTCCTACTGTCTTTATCTGCTATTAGAGCCATGTTTTAGTGCTTTGTGTGTGACTGGACAAAATAGTACCTAATTTGTCTCCTGCAGAAATAAACTCCCATGACTATTTGAACCAAAAGAAATGCACATTCTCACTGATGTTCAGTTAAAAGGATCTCTGCACATGATGGAGGGTGCATTTTCATGCCTGGGGGGGATGCATGCAATAGGCACATGTACATGCATGGTTGTTGCAATTTAAAGAGCACTAGCTACTTACCAGACTCAGAGATGTCATCCCAGTATGGAGAGTCAAACTCATACTCTGCCTTAAGGATCTGCTCAAAGAGTTTGGAGTCGTTTTCATCATAGAAAGGGGGATATCCACAGAGTCTAATGGAGAACAAGAAAGGAGAGAGGTCACCACTGAACCTATCTCTGTCCAGAAGGTAAGAAGGAGGGAGGGAGAAGAAGGAAAACCTCTCACTTAAGGCTTGCCCCAGTAAGTTTTCAAACAGGCAAGTTCTATCATGAGAGAAGTTTCTTCAGGGACATGTAAACCCACTTCTGGCACTGTCTTGGACAAAGTGGAATTCTGCCTGGAAACCTGGTGCTGCTGACCCCATGCTGACTCATGCAGATATCTCTGCATGCTTTTGAGGGTTTAACCAGAGGAATAGTTTTATTACACAGACATGACCCCTCTCCCGTACAAGTGCTGAGAGGAGATTTCATGAGCTAAACCCTACATCCACAGAACATCAGTCCCTCTAATCCCTCAGCACACTCAGAAGACCTGCAAAGCAGGACAAGGAGCCCTACAGAGCTTTCAGGCAGAGGGCATAATGCAGGATGTGCTGGTCTCTGTGTCCCCAGGCACAGTGAGGAGGATGCCCAGGACTCCATCCACCTGTGCAGCAGAGCTTGCAAGGACTGCACATGGACCTGCTGCTGCTGCAGACACAGGAACAGCCTCTCCCTTTCTCACTCCTGCAAGTGATTTCGCTGACCACATCCAATTGCCTGCCTTGCCTGAGGCTAGCAACAGTCCTGTCCTGGTTTTCAGTGTTTATAGTCAGACTTCTCAGAAAACTCAGCCCCAGGACAAGCAGGACATTGAATATTATTTGCCTAATTTGAGCTAATACGTTCAGGGTGCACCCTCCCAGTGCTGCAGAGCAGGACAGCCACCATGCAGAGGCAGGGCTGGATGTGGGAAAAGCACATCTGGCACTGCATTGAGTAAGTGCAGTGATAAAACTCGTGTGCCAGAGATCCCTCACACCCAGCTGCTGCTGCAGGCAGTATTTTGTCCCACTCTGCACAGACATGCCAGCAGAGACAACCCTTCTTCAAGTTTGAACACCAATGTTGCAAAGTGCCAGATTTACCTCTGAGGCTGGCCCAAGGTTTTAGCAAACCCATCCTGCTCACAGTTAAACAGATCTTCCTGCTCTGTGTAGACATGATACATTTTTTCCCTCTTATCGCTGGTCTAAGGTCTAAATCATTCTTTCACATACTTTGCTGGTATTGAAATGATCTTTTTCCTACAGGTTTTTTAAAAACTCTGAGTCAATCAATCTCAATAAAACATTTAATTGGAGAGAGCCAGCCATTACAAACAGACTGTAGATCTAGCTCAGAAGCAACAACAGAACAAGGCGGGGGAAATGAAATACTTGAGTTATTTATAACCCAAAGCCAGCCGGCTACCCTGGAGGTTATTTGAACCAACTCAACACTTGAGGGTGAAAGGAGCAATGTTTTGTTAGCTCTGAAGAGCCAGTGTGCTTGATAAATAATTTAAATATTGAGTGAGATGTTGATCTGCATCACATCCACGCTGACCTGGGAGAACTTTACTGAAATTTGCAGCATGACAATGAACCCGCTGGGGCCCAGCTGAACCAGAAATCTCACTCTTTATCTCAGAGAGCAGATGAGCCAGTCCTCATCTGTGTCCCACTGGATGACTGCCATTATCAAAACCAGTAAGATAACCTCATGCCAGACATGTATGTCCAGAGCAGGACTGTGCACCCACTTAATGGGCACGTGTTTGTGTGTGTCTGTTTGAAACCCCGTGGTGCAGGGGGTGAATGAGGGGGTGAATCCTTAAAAATGCTGAATTTAAGTAAATGCCAAAAAGCCACTATGTGCACGGATAACAGAGGAAAAACATCTGGTAGTTTAATGAAGAAACTGATCCACAGTCAGTGTCCGGCTCTACAGGTATTTGTGAAGAGCTTATAAATTACTTGTTTTAGTGTAATTATCAGTGCTCACATCCCACAGTCTTGGGGTGGGATGCACACAAACTGATTTTCACTTTCCTCCTCTTTTGTCACAACCCTCAAGATTTTGGGTGCTTTACTGAGGGGAAATGATGGAGCTGACAGTACCAGCACTGCAACTGGTAGGATGAGCACTGGGGTAGAGATGGCCAGGTTGGATTAAAAAAAATCAACCAAACAAAAAACCCCCAAACATGAAGCCATTGCTCTCATCTCCTCCTCCCTGTGAGACTCAGGGGGCTGCATGTGAGAAGCCTGACAGCCCTTCATTAATTTCTTGCCTTCATCAGCACTTTCCTTAGGCAAACCCAAAGTGCTCCGATAAAGCATTTTAAGACAAGCAGACAGTGCTGTGCATGCTGAGGCACTGGCAGGCTGCTCTGCAGAGAGAAATAACTCTCTTCAAATGTGCACTGTGCTAATTACCTTGGCAAAGGTACAAGAGCGCAAGTTAGGACTGCTGTGATTTATACACACTTGTGGCAGCAAAAGGTAGGAGCAAATTGCTAAGCAGCACAGAGCTGGAGGGCAATAACCCTGCAAGGGGGGAGCACAGAGACATGAGTCCCAGCAAGACCCCCAGCCTCTCCAGAGCCTTTCAATCCTGCATGGCTCGAGTATCTACATGGTTGAGGAATCAGCCTCTGTGTCCTGGAGGTCTCTGCAGCCCATGTTGATGCACAAGGAGAGACAGAATAATGCAGGAGGGCACCAGAACTGCCAGGAGCTGGGCAGGGGGCAGAAAACAGCATCTTTTCCCTTTCTAGAAAGAGGTTGAGAAGTGTTAGTTGTTACTACAGGACATGGGCAGAGAGATCTCCCCAAATCAGCCCCATACCTGAGAGCTGAACGAGAGCAAGGCAAGGACTGATCCTAGCTGGGCCAGGGGTAGGATGATCCTCCTGCACAGGGGATTCAAGGATGTTCCTCTGGGAGAAAAATCAATGAGGACCTACACCAGAAAGCATGTGAGAAGGGAGCAAGCCCTGTAGGTCAGAAGAGGTGGCATTTGGGAGAGGAACATTGGGGCACCCTGGCACAGGGATGGGTTGAGAGCCAAAATACAGGTTCTATATTTCATGTCCAGCCTTCTTTCCTTTCTCTTAAAAATAGGGCTTAGGAAGACATGGAAGTTTTAATGTTACTTAAGATTTAACATTATTGGCTTTGCAGAAAGGATGGGAAAGCCCCAGCAAATCAGCCTATCTTGCAATTTATGGCTGGAGGAAATCTTGCTGGACTTCCAGCAACTGGGCCACTTTCCAAAGTCCATAATGAGTTTTTTGGTTAATTCTTACAGAATCAAAATCCCACCGACTTCATTTCCATCTGCTGGGACGTTTCTGTGTGAAAAAAATGACCTCACTATCAGAGGTTCTGCTGCTTTTCTTTAGATATGCAGAAATGCAAAAATAACCCCTCTGTCTTCGATGTGAAAAAATCCTGCACAGTCCTGGGGGAGTTTCAGGCAGCTATTAGCTGTCATCATTTTCTTGCAGTTTCACCAAATAAAAGGTTTTCAGAATTTTTTTAGCAACCTTATCACATAAGCAACAGATTTCCCCCCAAACTCCTATTCCCAGTCTTGCCTTAAAAATAATGGGATAAAGATAAGAAAAACACAGGTGGATGTACAAGAGAAAGATATTGCCAGAAGTAATTTCTAAAAGTGATCCTGAGAGCACAATAGGAATAGCAGGAACACCTTGTCCTCACCAGGAAGAGAAAGCAAACCTCTGCAAGCACCCATTACATATTGGGGGGACACCGAAGGCTAAATAAATCATTCACATGGTCAGGGTCCACTCTGTAACACAAGAGGCCCCAGGGTTAGTTTCAGAAACAATTTTAGAGTTAGATTAGGACAAAGAACTCAGTAAGTGCTCAAAGACCTGAGATGTATGGTGTGGGAAGCCATCCAAGTGCTATTTATAGGGATAAACACATGTATTTCTTCTGTATATTTTGGGAACTGTCCCTCATATTGGTTGACACTGGTGCCCCCACAAAGCTGTGGATAAGGACATATCAGCATAGGGAATCACAGACAAATTAAGAAGAGAAAGAGTATCAAAGACAAATTAATCAATGAGGAAATGATCATTTGGGGTTGTTTTCCCGATATTAGCTGAGTTTTTCCAAGCAAAAATGCCTGTGTCCTCTGCCACCACTGCTTCTCCTTCCAGTGCCAAACAAGTAAGTTATTCCTCACTTTTTTTGCTTAGACTTGTGTGTGATGCCAAGCAGGCAAATGATTGACCACTTTTTCCCAATGAATGACACCTAGGGTGATGGTGGAAACTTCTTTTGGCATAATATACTTCGCACTGTCCCTGGTTAATTCTTCCATGCAAACATCACTGATGATTCATGCCCATCTACTTGAAAATCAAAAGCAGCTCAGCAGGAAAGTGTGAAAGTATGATTCCAAGATTTATCTCCAGATAAGTAATTGTTTATAAACAATAACAAACCAGTAACTCTCTGTCCAAACAGTGAATGGAAACAGAAGAAAATTCAAGGCAAAATGTATTTGAGCTATTACAGAAGACTATGAATAACCAGGGGCTGAGGCAGAGCATTCTGTGCCCCCAGGTTCTTTTCCATCTTCAAAACACGATTTTCTATTTTTTTGCATAAATTAACCTAATCTTCTCTATATATGGTATGCATGTGATCAGTATTTTAGTTCCCCAGGTTTTATAATCCCTTATCTGACCCAGAAAGATCCCAAATCCAGCTGCTGGGAATCCAGTGAAGCCTCTGCTCTTTTTATGCTTCATATTTTTTCAGCTGGACACATTATCAAAACTACCTTGTGATAAGTGGAAGGCCAAGCTCAACAGTGAGGCTGTTTTAAATTGAGAAATACTGCAACTGGAATAACAGGAAATTTCAGGTCTAAAATTAGTTTTTGTGAATAATGACTTCTCATGCAAAACAGGTTTTGATAAAAACTCCACTGGTGCAGCCTCTGCAATCTGGCTGTCATTAACAAGAAGCATTAGAGACTGGCACTGAAACAAAGGTATTCTTTCCCAAAGACATCCTTGCATATCACGGAAACAAATATTTCTCTACAGCATTGGTGCCACAGAAACAGTTTGTTCTTCCAGTGTCATGAACTGAGGGCTCTCAAGTGAGACTGAGCTTGGGTCTGGAGGCACTCAAACCATTTGGAGTAATATTAGCTCAAAGCATCTTTAATTTATGCCTGGCTTCTGTGTTGGTTTCTTTTGAGTTTCCATCTTCTTAAATGACACCAGTCTGTCCAGAGTGGCAGTGAGGATCTGTGGGAGAGGTTTAGGCATGTGCAAGTAGCTCCAGCTGTGCTGATTGTGGAAATGGAAATGGCATATCTGAAAGGGTGCAGCTACATATTGGAGCTAATAACTCCTGCTCAGGGCAGGTTTAACTCCCAGCATTTCACCAGGTCCTTGTGCTGCTGGTCCTTGTGGCCTCTCAGTGCCATGCTATGCTTGGAGCCCCTGCTGGCACTGCTACCTCTGGTGGTGTGGCACTGCTGAGACCACAAACCTACATGTTAAACCCGTGCCCATCACTGCTGGTATCAGACACCCCAGCAGGGCTAATTCCCTCCACATTAGGGAAGGACCCTCCTCCTCTCTCTCTTTTTACTCTATCCTAGACATTCACTTTCTTAAGAGACCACATCTGCAACCCTTGGCTATTCCTGGAAGCAAGGATGAGATCCAGACCAAGACTAGGACACGTGAGATGTGGGCTGGGTTTCCAAGATCACATTGCACTCAGCAGAGATGGAGTAAGGGAGGCTGGAGAGTGATGTGAATGTACCACAAAGCAGATGAATCCACACGGAGGAAGCAGGGCTCTGAGCAGGGTGTGATCCAGTCACCTCAGCATGAGCATCTGGTGCTATTTGGCATGATCCATGGCCTCCAGCTTGGATCCATCTACCTCTCCAGAAGGAAGGTCTCTGCAATGTGCTACATTTTTCAAATCCATGTGGCTGTCCTGGACCCCCCAGCATGACACTAAATGTGCAAGTCTAGGCAACTGAACAGCCCACCCTGCTGGAATGGCTGCTTGCATCCACTCAGGCTGGGTTGAGGTGCCCAGTGACTCTGGAGAAGCTGCAGTGCACAGGGGCCCTGATGCCATTGGCTGTGAGGGACTAACTAAGGGAGCCCTGGAGTGCTGCTGACTGCTACAGGAGCTGAAGGATGTGGCTTACCCATGGGAAGAGCTGGTTTGGTCTCAGACCCAATCCCACCCAAGCTGTAACAGTCTGGCAAAGACATTAACAGGCTCCTTCTACAGCAATGCATTACTGCTGCTTATTTGGGCTGTACAAAGTACAAATCAAGACCTTATTAGCTGAAGCACAGAAACCCTGAAAAGGTTTCCTTGTCCTGCAAACAGGAATTCATAGAGGCTCATTCTTATTGAGATGATTTAAGCCTTCTGGGTTGGGAATTCCCTGTATAGAGAATAGGGAATTTAAGTTTGAGGAGTGTGCATGCCTTGCTCAACAAGCTGAGCACATGCTGATTTGGAAAACAGAGCAGGAAACAGAGCTGAACCTTGCAGAAAGAACAGCCTTGCTTAGACAGGGGAAATGATTATGGAGGAGATTAAAACCTTCCACCTGTTGAAGAAATGTTCATAAACTGGGTGTGGAGGACACATTGCTTAGCACTGTCTCACCCCTATTCTTCAGCAAGACCTGTGAAAGCAGCAAGTGAAATCAGACCACAGGTCTGCCAGCACAAAAGACCTTTGGTGCATGAGCCACTGACACCTGGGATTGACAACCTGCAGGAAAGCAGAGCCAGGTTTATCTCCAGGCAGTCAGATGCAACAGTTCACAGCCCTCCCATGGGCTGCCAGATGGACACATATTCATGGTGGATATTTAGCAATAAACTGAACCCAGGCAGTGGCTGAGCCTGGACGTGAGGCAGAGTAGTGCTATCTCTCGCCTGCATTTCCTTTTCCCACTCTCTGAAGCTGATTCTCAGCAAAAGGCTAAAAGAGCATCAGAAAAGACTCCAACTGTGCCCTGCAATGGCTGGCAAGGACTGACAATGCCAAAAACCCCAACCCCTAGGACTTCCATGGTCAGATTTGCTTGTGAAAAAAGATAACTTTGAGTCAGCATACACCATTGTCATCTAAAAGAGCACTAAGGAAGGGTTTGTGAAGCAGCTTCCAAGGTATTTTGGCATGTTTGTGCTCTTCCTCACTGCTGTAGTAGGTCCCGCTGGGCTTTGAAACAAAGTCAGAATCAGCACTGTTGATTTTTGCTTTGTTTAGCAAAAGCTCTTTGCATCCTGCTATTGATGGATGCTCCAAAAGAAATCTGTTCCCATGTAAGTTTTGTACTCAAGAAGTTTTCAAAAAAGTCAGTCACAAAACTAAAGTTTTCAGGCAGGATTTTGGTTTAAATAAATAAACTCACATGCAATAAACAAAGCTGCCTTCCTATACTATTTAATATAAAACCTCCCTGTTTCGGGTAGCGTATAAATTATGCAAATGTAATGCAAATGCAAAGAATGAACATTGCACAGAGTGGATAGCACAGCAATGAGGTATGTCCTGGCAAAAATAGTTCTACAGCACCATCAAAAAGTTATTCATGTTGACAAGCCATGAAATGTCTGCGTAAGGAAAAAGGGAACAAAGTAAGAATGCTTTAATGCTGTGCCTCATTGAAGCCTCTTTTTCCTTCAGTCTTGTATAACTGTGACAGTTGTGTAAAAGGAAAAAGTAAAAAAAAAAAATAAAGCAGAGCTAATGCTGTCAGGAAAGACATTTGTTTCTGTGGCAGCTCAGTGGACACAGCCAGATTTGTTTCTTCTCAAAGTCAGTCTGAGCAGGGAACAACAATAACTTCAATGATGTCACAACCTGGACAAGCCCACACTGCTGCAGTGTAGTTCTGGTAGGAGTAAGGATTTTGACATTTGAAGGGTACTAGCCCATTTCCTACCACTTTTGCTGGAATTTCAGCCTTTATGCAACGCGGAGGTGTCTAGGGTACATGCTACCCTGTGTCACAAGTGTCAGGGAAATAGTTATTTTGCCCCAGGCTAAACAGGTAACTCCATGGTGGGAGAGCAAGCTGCAGGTCCCAAAGGTGCCAGCACTGGAAACTCCAGAGGTACTCACAGGATGTAGGCGATGACCCCGATGGACCAGCAGTCCACGGCTTTGCTGTAGGGCTTCTGGGCCAGCACTTCAGGAGCTGAAAATAAGAAGCCAAACAAGCACACGTTATAAGACCAGACATTTGAATATGGTCAAAAGGTAAGACTCTGAAACTTGAAGGCCTCCAAGACCTTGCTTTGCTCCCCACATGCAACCCTTGTGTTTGCAAATGTGTCCTGAGGTTTTTGAAGGTCATATTCTCACGAGAATGGATGACTCCTAAAGTAGAGCAAATTCACTTTTTTTTTTTTGTCTCCAGGCACAGAAAACAAAACAAAGCACAGAAAAATGCGTGAGAGGCAGAGGGCCATCACCTCCCTGTTTAGGAGGAAAATGAGGCCAAGCTTTGCAAGGGTGCAGAGATGCACATTTTCTCTGACAGCATCACAGCTCTGCTGCATCGTGCTGCCAGACAGGGGAGTTCCAGAGGCAGCTCACAAAGGGCAGTGAGTCAGGGAGGAGATAAGCTACATCTGCAGGAGAGGAAGGAGAGCAGTCACCACTTCTTCCACCAGCTGCCTTCCAAAGCCTGCTGGATGTCAGACTCAGAGGGAGTCATTTGTCCTTCTGCCTCTGGGAACACAAACACCTCAGAGGGAGAAATGAAAAGCAGCAGGAATTGGACATGTGCACAAAGGAACTGAGCCTCCTGCCTCCATACAGACACCATTTTGCTATAATTTTGCTATAAGCAACAGCCAGGGAATTTGTTGAATCTCTTTGTGGACCTGCTTTACCTTATCTTACACAACTGAGACTTAAAAAGGTGTATTTTTTGTTTGGGATCCTGAAGTATTATGTTTTCCCTGTTGGGACCTTGCAGTGCAAAGGCTTACACCTAAATTTCAAAACCCTGCGACCCTAATCTTTTTCATATAAAGAAGATTTTGCCTTTTTCAAAGCAAAACGTCCACAGTAATGCAAGAAATCACTGACTGTGGCATTCCTAAAGCAGACTTGCCATACTGTGTTTTAAAAAGTACAGTATTTCCTTTGAGTTATTTGGTGTTCAAATGGTGGAAAAAAGTAATGAAATTACAAGTCCCAACAAAAATATTTCTTGGAAGTCACACCTTCCTCTGCTAGGAGTGTCACCAACACCAAAGCACTTAGTTACTTGAAGAAGAGCAAAACATAAATAGTGAAGCACAGAGATATTTAATTGCTACCTATCCTCTGTTGTACTGGTAGGACTCTTCAAAGACTTATCTTCTTAATCCAAGCAAGCCAACAAAACCAAGGTCAATATTTCCAGCAAGGTATGGAACAAGAAGAAATAATGAGAATCAGAAAAGGTTTTCCAGTGCTTTGGCAAGAGGACTCATAGAGGGGCCTGAAAGAAGACAGTGCATGAGGCAGGTGAGGGCATCTGCATTTCCACAAGCAAAACAATGATGGAAAGGGTCAAATTCCACAGGGACATGTTGCAAAAATGAAGAAAATTCAGGGGGATGTGGGTAAAATTATAGCTGGCAATCAGATTATGAAGACTCTTGAAGATTGGGATATGTCCAAATCTGCAGCACAGGTTAAATACTACCCCAATTTTCAAGTAATTCAGCTAATTGAGACCTCTGTATGTAAATTGGTAATTGGGACCACTGCATAAGAAATTAGTCAGTTTCCTGTTTTGTTCCATCCCTTGTAATCGAATATTGTGACAAAATATGAGAAAGAAGGGAGTTAATGTTCTCCTGTCTTTATGTGCTTAGATGTCTTCCAACTATCCAGTCCTTCCAAATTCCCAGTATTTTATTCACATTCTCTTCTAGCTTTGACTGTCTGTGCCTGTTTACATAACTTTCAAGACTGGTAAACATTACATATCTCAGAGCTCCTAAAGAAAATATTATGCAAATGGCTGCTGAGCACCAGTGAGCTCCTGACATTATACAGATATGCCACATTAGCATAGCAGAAAACAATTCTGAGATGAGGGGATGTGAACTATATAAAGATTTCCCCTCTTAAAACATCAAAGCTGTGCTGGGGTATTTCTCTCTGTTTTAAAGGAGTGAAGAGCTCTTATTGCTGTTGCTGTGGATGGGAGCTCTAAAACAGGTAAGAGCAATACAGGGTAAGGATTAATGAAGAAAGCTAGGAGGTTTAAATACTTCTTTTAAGCCCAAATGGCTGCTTTTGATTTTTGTTCCAATAAGCAGACATGCATCAGGAACAGGAGGACATAGCTCAGCATCATCAGTCTCTGATACATGGAAAAGACGGAAATATTTAATGAGCTGAAAAACAAGTCAGAGAAGCTCTCAGGAATGACAGCAGATCAGTGCCAAGAGGCAAAAGCAGGAGACACAATGAAAAGAATCCAGGAGCTGACAGCATTAAAGGATCAACACAGACGGCTGGGGAGACAAAACAGCAGAAAGGAGAAGGGGAAAGCCAAATTTCCCATTTCTGGTGCTGGGGAGATGCCAGCTGAGCAGGCTTCCACTGGCACACATCCGCAGGGAATCACCTGGGCTCAAATCACACACAGTGGTCATCCAGACAGGGAAATCAATGGAGCAAACCCAGACCCTTCAGGCCGAATCAGCACTGCCACAGTGCTGGGCACAAGGTGGAGGCTCATTCCACCTTCAGGTACATGAAAATTTGCATCCTGGGCCAGATGATCCTGCTGTCTTACAGTTAGCTTTGTTTTTTGGTTGTGTCTTGCTTTTAATAAGAGAAAAAATTCAAAGGCTTTTTTGAAATGGAGGTTTTAAGAAAAGGTCCAGACCAGAACATTTGGAACCCTTTCAGAACACTATGCTATTACCCTCAGAGAGCACAACTATGCTGATAAACCCCCTAAAAATGCAGCTGCTGCATGCCAAAAACTGCAATTCATGTTCCTGCAAAGAGCTCAGGTGATGGGGATTGCTCTGATACTTTAAGCCTCTTGATCACACTGTACAAGTCATGAGGGTGTCTGCTCTTCATAACAGCCTGTACTGTCCATGAAGGGCCAACCCAGCCCCTTTCCTGAAGTCAAAACCTACCAAGTACCCTCCTCACAGTGCAAACAGCCTGAGATGCACATGGAGCAGCTTCACCACAAGACCAGAGTCCTTCTTCCACTGACTCCTGGGGTGAAAACAACTTCTCTCCATTTTTTCACACATTCCTCCCGTGTTCCTCTTGTTCTGGTTGGCCAAGACTTTAAAGTTTGAGGCTGTTTCTAAAGGAGAGCAGGGTTTTGGTGCAGTATTGATGACTTTCTGTGCTCCTGTTGTTCTTATTTCATGTTGCTGAGTCAGATTTAGATATCTGCCTTGGGTAATAATGCAGTTTATGTTTAGCAAGCACAACTCTTTGTCAAGATTCAGCAACAGAGCTGAGAAATTGCCCTGCCATGTGCTTCTGCCTGAGCAAACCCTGTTCAGAGTGATTCCCATCCTTTGATTTTCCTTGATTACTCGTGCTGCTGCCTAAAGGCTCCTGAGGTCGCTTATTGCTAATAAGGATATTCTGAAGGCTTAGTGAATATTTTCCAACCTTTGACTCGAAGGATACCAAATAAGTCAAAATTCAACGTGAAAAATCTATTGGTTGCTTAAATGCTGTGGTCTTGCATAGGGCTAGGAGGAACACGTGGCTTTGGTGAGATCTGAAACTACTGGATTTCTGGCAGAGCAGAGATGAAAGTTGTGAAATAGCCTTTCATAAAAGCACTACAGAAAATGAAAGCAGTGATTGAGGTGGAATGTACAGGGACCAAACACATATCCAGGATCCAGCCTAATTTGTATGAGAGAAAGTACAAGAAAATTTAACTTGAAGAGGGATTGGGACTCAGAGCAAGAATTTTAAATCTCAGTAGGATTAAGATATTAGTCAGCCACAAACACAGCTCATAAAAAGGAGAAAAGGAGAGCAAATTGCCTCAGACAGGCTTTCTAACATTTTTTCTAACTTTTCAAGTGTCTTGAAAGTCTAAATTCCATCTGCAGAAATAACCAAAGCTTTTGAGGGACCACTCATGGAAAGTCACTCAGTGAGACCCAATTCCCAAACATCCAAAATCTCTTTAGGAGAATTTGCTGAGTGACTGGAGTCACCTCCTGGTGGGTGCCCAACCTCACACACCTCAGAGATGGCTCATTTTTTGGAGGTTTGAACAGCTCCTACATCAAAACTGAGTTATTATATGAGGTCAAGAGCTGACCAGCCCAAATCCATGATGTTTAAAATTATAAATCACTAATGGCTTATTGGGATCTTGCCCATAATCACATAGATCACTCAAAGTTTTGAAATCATCACTTCTCCACATTAGCCAGTGGACCCATGCAGGTCAGTCCTCACACCTAATGTACAGTGAAATGAGCCACACTAGCTGCCTTACCTTTCCCAATTCAGGTGCTATCTAAAAGTTGGGTATCTAGTCCCAGCTCATCACTCAGATTCTTTCCATAAGAATGGGGAAAAGAATGGTAAGCAGATAAGAAAATGCAAGACGTTCTTAGAAGAGGTTGTATTGTCAGATCCCCTTTTCAGTAAGCAAACATTTAGATTGGCCTCTTAACAAAAGTGGCTCGCTCAAATAATTGGGTTAAATTATCTTAACCATCAGCTTTTCATCACAGGGCCAAAGTCTCTGACAAAACTCCTGAAAAAACAAGAACACAGAACTCTTGACAGTAATTTAATCTGTAAGGCAGAGCTTTAAAAGCTGAAGTGCTAATGCACTACTGGTAATGCACATTTTAGATACAGTCTAATTTGGAAATTAATATTTTGATTTTCAGAAAGAAAACTGATACTTGTTAAGGAATTTAATTATAATTACACTCTTCCTTATTCAATAAATTTCCAGACCACATAAACAGGCATTTAGTGTCTTGGATACTACTGCTCTTTGCAGATGAAAATAAGAGAAGTTGAGATAAAAACTGAAGCATGAGGAGTTGAAAGTATTTCCTGATCAAGGAAATTAGACAGAAGTGACAGGGAGATTGCATACCTGCAAATACTTGGGCAGCAGGCATGAGATAAGATCAGATCTGCTTCTGAGTCAGAAGCTTGTCCAGCACTTTGCAAAGTGGGATCTGACTGGACCCATTTCTGGAGCTGAAGTATAAATAGTAGCAGATACCAATGACTTCTTAACACAGCCCTGGGTGTCTTTGACATGTGATATGTGCCTAAATCTCTTCCAGCATTTTAAAAGCAAAGTAATGAAACTGATAAAAATAATTAATTCTAGTAAAATCTTAGAAAATAGGGCGTTCTACCGATGTCTGAAGAAAAGCACCAGGAAATGAGTTTTAAGTGATGGATCTCTGAGTGTTACTTAACCTGAAGTAAAATACATGGGAAAGAAAAAGCAGAACACAAAGAGGAGGCAGACAGGGCACTTCATGGGTTGGGACTGTGGCATTTGTCTGCCCTAGCCAGGCTGAGGACTCCTATTCATGCTGTGCTATTAGGAGGAATGAATCTTCTTAAATCTCTTGATTTAAGGGCAATGGGCAGATGCTGCAAGTTGGAGTGACACTGGAAGATATGGAAGCTTTTGGATGTAGGCAAATTTCAGACCACCACAACATCAGGTGTAACACTCAGGGAGGAGCATTTGTGGGCATCACCACAGTGACTGGCAACAAAAACATTCTGTGCTTGGAAAATGTTGTCTGAGCAACCTATTATGCTAAAAAAAAAAAGTACAGCTCTAAAGGGGAGGTGTATCCTGTGCAGCAAAAAGAAAAAAAAAAAAGAGAGCAAATATTTAAAGTTGTTTTCTTTGTGAAGGAGAGGGGAAAGTCCTGTCAGCACTTCAGAAATAAGTGGCCATGACCTCTTGAACCAGGATGAGTAAATCCTGCATTCAGCAAGGTAACAGCAAGCCTGGAGGCACTTGTGCAGCCATCAGAGCCCAGGCCACGGGTAAGGAGAGCTCTCAAACATCTCTCAAAGCACTACAGCTCCTGTCACAGGCTGCAAGAGATTCCTCTCCAAAAGAACACGTTTTCTCATGTAAATAGCAATGATGAGAGGCTGCATGAGATCACTCAGAGACCAAGCAGAGACACTCCCTCATTTTCACCAGCGCTTCTACAAACATCACCTAAGCTTTCCTGTGTCTTGAGACTCATTCTAGTCAGTGCCAGTTCCAGACCAAATAAAACATGTTTGATAAGGACAGAATAGCTGACAGCAAAAGTTATGAAAATTGCTGTCTCAGTTCAATTCTTGCTACTGTTTTGGAAGAAGATTTCCAGTCTAGTGTGATTCTCAGAGTGCTTCCTGGCCCATGTCTTAAAATAAAACATTGATGGCCTGATGGCTCCACAATAGGAAAGCACAGAAATCTGTTCCTTTTCCCGATTTTACTGGGATAGAGTGTGAAGATAATCCTCAAAAAAAGTACCTTGACAAATGTGTATCACTGTCGTAATCACCTAATCTGAGTTGTTGCACCATGATATCATCAGAACTATGAAAACAGGTGAAGTGGCTGTGAAGTAAAAAGAGTTTCTGACAGTTAGAAAATATCCAGTCTTTCCTGCTGGAAAGATCTGAGACAAAAATCTATCCACTGTCGGTTTCATGGATTTCATGGGTACCCCAGAGTTTAATTGATCTTGGTGTGGCATGAGGCACAGGCTTGCTGGATGTCTTGTACAAAAAGGGAGCCTTTTAAATAGTGTTTGCTCAAACAGACCTCATCACCACCTGCCATCTAATGCTCACTTTCAGCTGCTTTAACTGTTTTTAAAGGCTGCTGGTAAACATGCTGTTGATAGGTAGCCTTGTACAATCACCACCAAATGGACAGAAGAGCAAAGAATAAATGATAGAAACCAATTTGACACTGTCCAGGAAGGCACCAGCACCAGAAAATGAGCATTATTTAATTTTCACTAAAATATAAGCAAACCTCTTACCAACATAGCCAGGAGTTCCACAGGCTGTGGACATCACATCTCCTTTACCCTCCATCTTTGACAATCCAAAGTCACTGATCATGATTTTTGACTCTTCATCCTGGCTGTAGTAAAGCAGGTTCTCAGGCTAGAGAGGAGAAAAAGCACAATAAGTTTTGAATATGTGAGTTCAGTAACAACACCTGTTGACTCATGCATTTTATTTAATACAATCCCTAATCACACCATACACAAATATAATTTGGTTGCCCGAAGCCTAAAGAGTTGTTCTTAAAACCTACATGGAGATCCTCTCCAGACCCCTGTATGGCAACAAATGGAAGACCCTGACACCCTGAGCTTTGAGCAACTTTTCTGGGATTACAAACTTCTCCTCTGGCGCCTCAAATAAGGCTCATCCTTTACTTGTGAGATATGTCTGATGTATTATCACGTCACTGGTGAAACAGAAGGATTCATTTGAAAGCAAGAAAATATGGCAAATCCAGGGAGTGTACTTAAAAAAAATGTATACAGTATTTGAAAAAAGAAAAAGGGAAACAGGAGGATTAGAGAATTTTTGTATCTTTTCCACTGGAAAGAAACTGTTTTGAGAGAGGAAATGCCTTTACAGTTAACAGACTTGAAGCAAGGATATTTCAGCTAGAGCTGATTAGGAAAAAATGCTGAAGGAAAAATGTGCTGTAGCACTAAGCACAGCAACTTGTTTATGGCAAGAGAAAACAAGGATCACTCCACAAAGCCCTGTGACTTTTTATTCCAGAGTCAGGGGGGTTGGAGAGCCCAGCCAGCCTCCATCTGCTCCACAGAGTCCTCCATCCATGTGCTTTGAATGTGCTGCTGCTGCACAGCAAAGCTCTTGCTGGGTGCTGTGAGAGCCCACCTCTCCCCTACTGAACATCTGGGCTCATGAAAGAGTCCACACCTGCAGCACTCAGCCTGCTGGCAACGGGCCCTGGACCTTTGGGTCTTCACCCGTAAAAGTGATGGGTACCCAATGTTTCCAAAGAGCCTCAGTGGTGTCTTCTGCCCAAAGCTGGTACAAATGCTGACACACAGCCTGCTGTGTGCTCCAGAAAATGGTGAGGAGCAGCTGCAGCCACACAACATCCTCAGACTCCCTGGGACACATCCAAGATTGGATTTGTAAGGAGGAGAAACTGCAGATCAGCAGCACCAGCATCCATCTTCCCTTCTCCATCTGCTCTGGGGAAAGTGCAGGAGGGTGATGTCCCATTCAGGAGATTAAAGTGTCTCCTGCTCCCAGCCCCAGCATCAAGTGATGGCTTTATCCACAGGACATGTGGAAACATGGGACATAGTGGCCATGAGAGGATTTGCAAGCCACAGCCACAGCTATGGGCCAGCAGGGCTGAGGTAGAACGGGAAATGATTCATTTCCTAAAAATAAATATACAGCTGTACCACTGATGTTTCTTTCTCCTGATAACTTGCAAGTCCAGTGCTTTAATCGGACTTTTTAGTGTTGACAGTTTTAGGGACTACAGTTTCATGCCATGGTCTGTCCTAGGCTGGGGTCACTCCTAATTTTTACTACTGCCCTTGTGATCTGCTGAGGGGTTGGTAGACTTGGAATTAAGGGAAAAGCAGTTATTTCCTGACAACTTCTGCTAATTCACCTCAGGCTCCCACATACTCACATTAGTAAGGCCAAGAAACCCACACATTTAAAAGTCAAACCTGTTTAAAAGTATTCTGTTTCCTCAAGCTGGTTAATTTAAAAAGCATTTACAAGGTGGCTCTGTACCAAGTGGAGCTGCTTGAGCCTTTCAGTCCTTTTTGTGCAACCTGGACCTCCCCTGGACATCTCCTGCTGCCAGCTCTTCTAATCTACTGTTGCATTACTTGATTAGAGACTTGGAGCCCAGACCTGCTTTTACCAACTACAGCAAAGTATTATTTTGGTATCTGAATAAAAACATAATTGCAATAAATAATTGTTATGGATGTTTCATGGGTTGTATTTTTGTAGAGTGGATTCTTTCCCAGAGTTTCATTTTGAACCTTACACTTAATTTGATATTTTGAGATCATAAAAAGCCTTATTATATCTCTGTTTTTCTCATCATGGTATGTTTTTGCTAACAGAAACTCACAGCAGGTGTTCCTCATATACTGTATTTTATGAGTCATTTTGACAATTGATATGGTACTGACAAAAACCTGCAAACAAAAGACAGAAAGAGAAAAAGAGCTACTCTTTGCTACAAAATACCACTGGAGAAGGTTGGTTTGATCTAAATTCATCTTGGCCTTACATAAACTCTGAAAGTAATTTGTACATGAATTTAATTCCCAAATCATCAGAGCTTATATTTTATTACAGTATCTTTAAAATAAGATTATTTTTTAAAATGAGAGGTATAACCTGCTTTAGATTATAAAGACAAGACTACCAAGACCTTGTACAATGGAATATCTGATTTAAGAGTCTTGGACTTCACTCCAAAAATGCTGGTGGAGAAAGAAGCCTGAAGTTATTTCCTAAAAGTTGAATTTGGGAGCAAGATGGTCATGTTAAAATACAGCACTTCCATACTGGAATTCTGTGGAGCTCTTATAAATATTAGAGTATTTCTATGTACTTCAGCATAAGTGCAGGAAATTAATAGGAACTGAGGGCAAGATGTGGAGACTGCAGGAGATGGAAGCCTCACCAGTGCCTCCTTACAGGAAACCCATTATTTGGGGCTGTCTGCAGTGCCTCTTGACTCTATGATTATTCATTAAGCCTTTTTATAAGGCTTATATAAGGCTCATAACATGTAGCCAAATTCCACTCTCTTTACAGGGGGAAAATACAAGCTCTGCCTCAACATCCAAGGAAACTCCTGTTCGGAGCATCCCTCCAAAATACAACCAGAGGTGTTATTTCCATCACTGAAATCTTCATTTCTGGCAGTAAACTTTGGCAGAATTAACTAGCTCAGGAACGGGACCCACAGTTTTCTTTTGAAATTTGTATCTTTTTCTAGTATCTTCTGCTAATTTATTATTTGAAACACTAAAGTGCTATCAAATCCAAGCTTTTCTGCTTCTCTTAATGACCGTTTAAGATATTGGAAGAAAACAATAAAACAACATTTAGGGATTTTTTTACCTGAAAAGCTAAGAGGTTTAGAGGTGACAATATGGTGCAGCTGAAAGGAAAATCATCTAAATATCACATTGGCACACAATGGTCCTTAGAAGAATCCTTGATGTTAACAGTGTCTCCAAAAAAACTGCTCCAAATGGTAGGAAATCACTCAACTTTCCCCCACTATTGTTACCAGTTATTATCAAGTAAAAGTAAATATAGCACAACAAACTTGCAAAATACTTTATAGCAGTGAACACACCTCAGCCGAGAGGGAGTTTCTGCCTTAACATAACGTTGTGGGTCTTAATGGCTTTTCCTCCCATCATATGTGCAAAACTCCCACTGATTGTAACTGCCCTGATTGCAGGGTCCTCATTAAAACCAATGGCATGGGGAGGCTTTGGAGCATCTCTCCTAGGGTAAAACGTGTTTGTTAGGCTCACACAATTACACAGCCCTCATTGCCAGTGCCCAGGGGCCCCAGAGGTGCTGTGGGCTTACCTTGAGGTCCCTGTGCACGATGCCCATGCGGTGCAGGTAGTACACAGCGTCCAGGACCTGCCGGATCAGGGTGCTGGCGTCCTTCTCCGTGTAGAATCCCTTCTCCACAATGCGGTCAAAGAGCTCTCCCCCAGACACTCTGGAAAACACAACGGGCAGCAGAAGGGTGAGGATGGGCTTTGTACAGCCCTGGCTGTGTCATTAAAGGATGGCCAAGGCCTTGCACTAGGCACGGGCAGCCAGAGCAGATCTGCTTCAGCTCTGGGGCTCCCACACTGTCCCAAGGGATGGTGAAGGGTCTGGAAGGGAAGATTTACAGGTAGGGGTTGGGGTCACTTGGTGTGGTCAGCCCAGCCTGCAGAAGAGAAAACTGAGAGACCTCATTGTGCTCTTCAACATCCTCATGAAGGGCAGTGGAGGGGCAGCACTGGTCTCTTCTCTGGTGACCTGAGGGAATGGCCTGAAGCTGAGTCAGGGGAGGTTTAAGTTGGATATCAGAAAAAGCTTCTTCACCCAGAGGTGGCTGGGCACTGGATCAGGCTCCCCAGGGCAGTGGCCACAGCCAGCTGACCAGAGTTCAAAAGCATTTGGACAATGCTCTGGGGAATAGGGTGTGACTCTTGGGGTGTCCTGTACAGGGCCAGCTGGACTCAATGATCCACACAGGTCCCTTCCAATTCAGTATATTTTATGATTCTATGAATTGAGTTTGATTTTCTCCAAGGACTGGTCAGCCTATAATGGAAAATAAAACCCATCACACATCACGGAGTGGTCAAAGACTCACCAACACTTGCAGAGGGAATCACAATCATATCCCAGCAAGAGCCAGGGGAGCAGACAGCTTTCCATGCTGTCCCACCCTAGAGAACTTTGCATAGGCAGTTCCATCTGCTAGTGCTGCACCACTCCTCCTATGATCCTTTGGGGTTCTCTTTTCATTCCACTGACCAGGGCTTGGGCTTTGCCCTGGAGGAATGGTCCCATTCTTTCCCCACTAGTGAGCTAAACACATTCAGGAGTTGCTGCCACTACCTACAGAGCATTATTTTATTAAAGTAGCCTGCACCTCTGACAATTTTAAATGCTCTCAGAGGTCCCCTCCATTACTCACACATGTATGTTCATTTATCTGCAGTCACAAGCTCTTTAGGCAGAGCACAGCCTCTGCTTGGCACTGGTAGGAGACAATTATTGATGAGGAGCACAGATTATCAGTGCAATTAATCACCAGATGGCACAAATGAGGAAAGGATTCCACAACTCAAAGAGGAAAGAAAATAAAACCTTGACATCCCACTATTTAATGTCTGCTGTATTGCACTTTTTCCCTGCCTTGCTAGAAATAACACATTTTGAACCTAATCTTAAATAAAGAATGGCACATTAAAATTCCCTGGAGGAGTATCTGAGGAAACAAAAGAGAAAAGAAATGTCTGAGTAATTGAAATAATAAAACTGTCAGCAAAAAACTGCCCTACTAGGGTAAATAAAAGATTTCCATTTTAGCAAACAAAGCCTATTAAAAAATAAAATGTATGCGATATGTTTCTTCAGCAAGTTGCACCACTTAGCATATCATAAATAGCACAGTAAAACTTTCTTTAAAAACAAACCTAATAAAGGGAAAATAACAAATGATTACAGTCATTAAATGCATATGGACTGGGAGCTTGCCATTACACGAACACTAGGTAATTCAGCCACTCCAGGCAATAATCTGCTTGAATAATAACATGAAGTCACTTCCTAGGGAAGTTTGGAGCCTGAACGGGGGAGAATGCTACCACTAAAATGAACACATTCAGCTTAGAAAATGAAAAGCAATCTCGGAAGAAAAAGAAAGCAAGCAGATAATCCTTCTATTAAGTGCTAGGCAAACAAAACAAACAGCTTACTAGCATACTGTCACTAAATTGAAACTGCGTGAAAGGTGAAGTTCACCCAGGGTCTGAAGTTCACCAGCAGCATGAATTAAATCCCCTTCTTTCCTAGTTTCTCAAAACAGGAGTTGTATTTCTCACATATACATATTTATGTATACATGTGTGAATACACAGTGTTGCTGCAAACCCCTCCTGGCCCTGCACCCACTGCCCAGCCCATCCTGTGTCCTGCCAAGGGAGAACAGACACACCTCACCCTCACTGCTCACTGAAGGCAGACACAATCTTATTGAATATGGCTCCTATTAACTGACTGGTTTTTATATTTCCCTTGCAGTCCCTTTGTTTCCTGTGGCTTTAATGCACTGAAAATTGAGCCCACACAGTAATTAATATCACTGAATACAGCACATTTCCCCATGAAAATTCAGTGTGTGCTGTTTTGCAGTTTCATAGAGTTACTTTTGTTACATTCAAGCAATGGACTGTTTTAGTAGATACCAATTTACATCACGTGCTTTCCTGCACAAGGAAATTCTGCTTTGATCTTTGCAGAGAGTACATTTCCACAAAATATTTTTCACTAAATTGACAGAATTTCCCTCCATTCCAGCTCACTCCCCACCCCCCTTAAGCCTCATTCTTTAATTGAAATATTTTCTTAGTCAGATTTAGTCCAGTGGATCTACTGTGCTGGGGCTCAATCTGTTTATAATTTTATTTCAAAACACGGAAAATATTTGCAACTTCTTAAATGATGCACTGCAAAACAGAGCTTAATCCAAGCACTCAGGAGGAGCAGCCCTTACAATTGCAGGCACTTGCTTTACTGAGAATGTTGACAGCACCCCAGGTACATGCAGAGAGCCAAGGGTGTCATTGCTTCTTTTTATTAGTGTGGTGACTCTGTGTTTGGTGCATTACATTTTTACACTCACCTCTACAGTCTCCAGGCTGTGGGCAAGATTCCTGGCTGAGGTCCAACTCCCTGGGATGCTCTTCAACTCAGCACCCAAGGCCATGGCTACTTTCCATATGGAGCTTATGTCCCTATGGCTTTTCTCGTCCAGGATAGGGTTAACTCAACTGTAATGTCATTGGGAATGCTGCTTCCTGCACAGTGCCCAAGGACTGACCCAAGCCAGTGCTGTTACACGGGCAAACCAGCAAAGGCAGCTGTGGGAGAGCATCTGAGCTCGAAACTCATGGTGGAGATGTGGCCTGTTAGCTGGTCTTGATCCCAGCCCCCTCTGCCCTGCTGAGATGGGACATGGCATCTGTTCTGGGCACTCACAAAACAGTGCTGCAATTTGTTCCAGTCTTCCATACTCTGGAATAATTATTTTCTTTTTAATGGCATCATCCAGCTTTGCCCTTTCTATGGCAATTTTGAGGCAGAAGTGAAACTGAAGGCGGTAAGAGCAGAATTAGGTCTTTGTTTTAAAGGAATTTAAGACAGAATTTTCTGCCCAGAAAGAGAGGGTAGGAGGGATTTCTCATTAGTGGAAATAAGAGGACTGCTCCTGTCTTGCAGCTGGCACTGGCTCGCAGAGTTGGACACACAAACAACAGCAAAAGGAACCTTTTTCTCTTGATGATTTCAATCTTGGTTAGCAGCAAACAAAAAGTCAAAGAACAACTAGCCAAGTTCAGGTACTTGAAAAGCATTTACCTCTGGAGCAGCTCAAGTGTCACGCTGTGATCCAAAGTAGCATCAGCCCTGCCCAGGGACTCAGAATTGGGAAAAACTCAGCAAAGCAGCCACAACTGCCTCTTCTGCATGGCTGTGTCTGCTGGGACTGCCTGGATGGAATGTGTGTGGCTCCAGCCCTTGGTCCTTGCTCAGCCTTTCCCCTGGTTCTCCAGCAGCATGGGAGAAGCCCAGCACTTGGAGAAAGAGCTGAGCCAAGTGTCCCCGTGGCACATGGACACCCCAGTATCTGCCTTGCCTGCCTCCAGCAACAGGAAACAATTTCAAAACAAAGACCAGGAGAATAATTTCATTTAGAATGAAAAAAACCGCAACCAAATGCTGCCATAAATATAAATACTTGACTCTTGCTATATCTTTTACCCGAGGCTACATGCCTTTAGTACATCACTGACTAGCCACATGAAAAACGCCAAAACAAACATTCAAGGTGAAAGGAAATAGGATTTGAGGGGAGGCCTCACCAGTGCCCAGTACAGGACGTGGTCACTGCCCTGCTCCTGCTGGCCACACTGTTTCTGGTACAGGCCAGGATGTAATTCCGTTAACACCCAGACTGAGGAGGGACAGTAGAACCCAACTTGACCACTTGATAAAAGAGACATTATCTGCAATTCCACTGGGGAAACACAGATTGCACTTTGTTTCCAGGGTTTCCTGAGACAAAAGCTAGTGTTTCATTAAGGAGATGTATGTATTGATCATGCAGATGACACAAATCTTTGAGGACCTAGCCTTGTGATGGAGTTTGCAATAAATTCCTACAGTTATATTTATATTATTTTACTTTCCCGACTGGATTTGGGGGTTTTGCTTCTTGTTTCTTCCCAGTTTGATGTTTAAATGCAGATCTAAACCTCCAGCACAAGCTGCCATGCTGAGTGGCTCAGTTTAGGACAGATTTCAAAAAACCTTGAAAATATCAGTGGTTTTGTACATGGACGAGCTACCTTGTTAATTGGGCTCTCAGTGTGTACACTGCTGGCTGAACACCCTGCATAGACAGTAAGAAAGGACTCTGAAAAACCTTGCAATGCTCATTAGAGGCAAAGGAGAGGTCACTCTAACAGTGTCCTTGTATAGTCAGGCTCTGTTCAAGAATTGGTGTCAGTCCTTGACACTACAGTTTCCATATTTGTGCAATTTCTAATTTACAGATGTAACTTGTAACTTGAGAGATGAGGAAATATTACAGCATTACTATTACACCTTCACTTTACATTAACTATCAGTTCATCAGGAAAGAACCAAACTGGCAAACAAAAAGAAAACTGGCCATGCTGCAGGTAAAGAGAAAGGGCATTATCAATCTTTTTCCAAAGCATCCAATTCGTCTGCAGCAGCATCAGGAAAGCAGAATGTGCAAAGTTTCAAAGAAGTACTCTGACTAAAAATGAGAACCAAACAAAAACTCCCTTGTAATTTAAGGCCCCTAGACTCATAAACAGAAAACAAGAGCCCATCTCTCTGAATTCCTGGTGTTTTTGCCAGCAGAGTGAAACCTGCACCCACATATTGCAGGTCACGGTACCAGATACCTGC